AATTTATGTTAAAAAATATAAATAGAAATAAGTATTCCAATTCCAAACATAAGAGCATCCAATGCTATAAGTGTGAAAGACCATTATTTTTAACACATGTCAATCAATGATTGTAATGTTAATCCACATTGGAATAATGTTAAAAGACTAGAAATTTCAATGGAACTAGTATCTCCAATGCATCAATTTGATAAGAAGTTATTTGTATAGGTGGACCAATTAAATAATTCATTGATACAAAAAAAATAAAAAATTAAAACAAATATAAAGTAAATTGATGAGTCATCATGTTTAACATGGTGTTAGATATTAGAAAGTGTGCTCAATATTGTCAACATTAAGTGACATCCACCTCATCATGAAAGAGTTCATGACAAGATGCATTGGAGAAAAAAATAGAGACACACTTTCAAAAGTTGGTGATATGGATGACATTTTATAATGTCAAAAGTTGCATTGGAGATGCTCTAAGATAATGTTGGATCACTGTATCAATGACTAAGGCATCAACAACCCTTTAACACAAATATGATTCATTCAATCAAGATGTAACACTCTCTCTCATCCACATCATTTTTCCACTAAATCTCGCTCATTTAAACACACACTCACATTCGTACACATTCTTTTAAATACACATATGAGACCTATTATCCACTCATTCAATATAAATTTTAATATTCTATTCTCAATTAAAGTAAAATTTAATACTTTTAAATTATAATAATAAATTTTAAATGCATGAAAATGAAAGAACACTACATGACCAACAACAACAACAACAGCATAGCCTTTTAGTCCCAAGCAAGTTGGGGTAGGCTAAAGATGAAACCCAAGAGAACCAATGGTAAGCGAAACACAAAAAGGGCTCAAAACAATTTTGAAAGGAAGAGATTGGAGCAAAAAGAGAAAGGAGCAAAAAGAGAAAGACACTACATGACTAAAATAACTTAAATTAAAATTACACAAGAAAAAAATAGTACAATTACAAAAAAATATTTTTTTAGTTATTGTCAAAATGAGTCTAAATATGCTCACCTTAATCGGAAAGTTGACAATGCAAGAGAATTATAAAACCGTAGTGTATTTTTATATATAAAAAGTATGAGATGATAACAAATGGTAATTATTGATACATATTGAGAAATATGATTTAGATAATAATTGAATTAAATATAGAAAGAAAAAAGACAAGTTAATAATTTTGATAAATCAAAAGTACAATTAAAATAATATTTAAAGCAATAAAAAGAAAAAAAAAGAAGTGAATTCCGTTCAAGAGTTTGAACAGCAGAGGGGGGCTCCGCATTTAATGAACGGCCCACAACCCATTAACGCCCCCAATTTCGAATCTGCCTCTAACTCACCGATTTCCATTTTCCATGTGCTGTGATAATATTATACAAGTGTTTTAAGAAGATTATCTAGGAAAATGTCCATGAGTTTCTTCAATTGGTTGTCGAACATATGTCGTTGAGTATGTCATAGTCGAGAACAATAATGTGTTTTTTTTGTTTCATGACTAATTCATTTATATGGATTTGGTATGTCGCATGCAAATCTGCTCCCATATTATTGCATCACAAACAAATAGTTGAAAATATTCAAGTCTGGCTGGATGATTTCACATAATCAATGTTGCTCGAGGAAATTAAAGGTGCTGTAAAGATGCAATAATACTAACATGAGTTATATTCTTAATTTCTTGGTTGTCACAAGGAAGAAGGAACTTGTTTGGGTCATGCTGATGTGATCATGTTAGTACATTTCTTATCTTCTTTTCATTTGAACCACTTAAGTTTTCTTTTGGCCTCAAAGGGTACTTCTGCTTTGGTTTTCATTTCTGGATATTTGACCTTTAGTTTTCGGAGGAGTTGTCAAAAAGTTCTGCTGCTGAACTTGATTTCTATTCACCACGATATTGAAGATTTTGCAAATTCCTCGAGCCTTAAAGGTAGGTTTTCTCTACTAGTATATGATTAATTGAGCAAACACACCCCTCTTGATTTATTTGCTAATTTATTTATGATCAGGCTTTTATAATTTTGAAAAAGATACTCTTAGGTGGCGCTTGGTTATTGAAAAACTTTCAGTTTTGTTTCGTCTAGCTGGACAAATTTTGCTTTCATTAGAATTGTGATTGTATACAAAACTCTTTTAGAAAATCCATTGTTTTTTCTATTTCATTTTTTTTCTTTTAAATCTCATCAATACAAATGAAAAATAAAAGTAAATCATTATTACATGTTTCCAGTGAATAATTAATATTCTATCACCTCACTTATTTTTTTACTGTTAATCATTACTATTTAGTATTTACAATTTTAAATGACATCAACTTTAATCTTAACTTCCTTATATTATACCCATTCACAATCTTACAATTTTTTTATTTTTTATTTTTTTTTATTTTTTTTTTTNTTGCGTCCTTTCCCATCACTCTTATCCTACGAGACAAAATATTTATCATTTTAAGAAAATATTTAGTGAGCATAATGTTAATGCAATTCACACATTGAGAACTTTTGGACAATGCCCTGAAATATTATTGTGCATAAATATAAGCTAAAACATGCTATAGTAACTTAATAAACTGGCCTACATAGTGTTCATCTCTTTAAACTTCAAACTTCGACTTTTAACTATAATTATTTACTTTTACTTTGTATTGTTGGATGGAATGTTATTATTATTATTATTTTTTTTTTTTAAGTTTGACATTGATAGAATAATTAGGGCTTCGAATGAGCCTAGCTATTAGTGATCTACTCGAACTCAATCCACTTTAGGCCTAGTTTGCTAAAGGGCATCCAAGGAAGCCTGTGATACATCATATTATTATCATTTATAAATTTTATGTTATAGTAATAATTGTATAGTTTAGTAACTTAGTTTAAACAAACCAAGTTGTATAGTGCACGGAGTCTATGTTGGGGCTCGCTAAAGCTTGTTACAATTATTGAGCCTACTTGTTGAGATCGATCTTGCCAAATATTAATGAGCTACAGTTTGGTTTTTCAACCGTGTCAAGCTGCAATGCACAAAGTATGGCTGTCGCTTGCACGAGCTCGAGCATTTCGAATTCGAATTCGATTGTATGCTTGAATGCCCGACGATCGTCCCTCAAATGTACATAAAATTACCTAATCACCTCTTAGTAGACATTTTTTAATTGAAATTTTCAAGTTGAACTTCGAGCAAAATTCGAGACAATCACAATCGAGCCAATCTCAAGCATTGGTGTTTTGTTGTCGACTTGAGCAACCCGCCGGTGTAAAAAATTACCGTGCAACGTCGTGCACTTGAATTTGAAGATGGTTGTTCCCAGTTTATATATAATAACCGAAATGATCGATATTTAGAAATCCATTTTTCTTTCGATTATTTCGGTTAGTTATGGTTTTAGGTTCAAATAACAAAATCGGCTGATATTCTATTTTATATCTATTTATTAATATATATTATATTATATTATATTATATTAATAATTATAACCTCCCATCCTACCCACACGCTAGGAAGTTCAGGCATTTCACATTTTCCTCACAAGAAAAAAGCTACTTCTTTGACCAAAGTGAAGCAAGGGTTCCCTCAAACCAAGATCCTCAATTCCTTATTTTGTGAAGTTTCAAATCCGTTAAATCCACTCTTATACTCAAAATTCACTTTCACAATTCTTCTCAAGATTAGCTGTATCCAATTTCCCCAATTTCAACAGCCCTCGTGTTTACTCTTTGTCCCATATTTAGTTTTCACTCCTGGATTTTTTTTTTCTTTTTTTTTTTCAAATTTATCAAGTTTTGGAGTGCAACTGTGACATTGTAAGTCCCAGTCTCACTTTTGGTTTCTAGATTGTATAAAGGTTGTTCGAGTGAGTTTTCGGGCATGTACAGGGATTTTTTCAAATTGTTTTTTTTTGGGTATTTTTAGCTACCTCTTTTGTGTTCTATGTTGGAGTTTCTTCAAATGTTGTTTTTGGTATTTTCAGCTGCTTCTTTTGTGTTTTTGTCGGGGTTGTTGGTTGCTTTCATGTGATGTTCTTAGGCTGTTACTAGGTTGCTTTTTTGTTTCCTACTCTTGGGCTGTTGGTATTTTGCTACAATTATTGAATTGTGTTGTAGGATTATATAATAATCTAATTTTTTGGTTGTATTTTCTGTTGTTGAACTTAAAGTTGGGTATTCTGACATTATGTTTTCTCCTTCCATTCATGTCCGTTCTCCTCCTTTTTGTTTCTTATTTACTTATTTTCTCCCATGTTTAGAATTTTTTTTGGTCAGCTACATAGAGTAATACATAAGCATCATTCTCCCATATTTTTGCCATTCAGGTGTTCGATCAGTTGGACAAACAGAGGAATTGAAATATTCATCTACCAATATTTTATGTTTATTCTTTACTTCTTGCAACATTTGAGCTGCAACACACTCTTCTTGTTGAACCAAGTGCAAACTTTGTAATTTTATTCATATACCCTTGAATCTCTCTTACTTTGTTTTCTTTATGATTTTCGTTGTAATTGCTGATTTCTGTGCAACACCTGCGCTCGTGGATGGATGTTCCCAATATTTCGGATACTTTTTATATCGTATGGCTGATCCCGATGCACTGTCCAAAATCAATGACCAATTATATTATTGTAAGTTACATACCATTTTCATATTTGGTTTTCTTTTAGTATGTTATTTTTAAAATAATTATGACAATAATTGAATGAAAATACAAACTTAAATACAAAATTGATGAGATGGCAATCTCTGTGATGTTAATTATTCTACTGGAAACCAATACAAAAATGAAGCTACCTATAGTACCAATAGGATCAAAATAGAACCATCCATCATGCATGTTTAGTTTTCATTTTTAGTTTTCATTCTATTAAGTTCAAACTAAATTATCCAACTAAATTGAATTAACTATAATCAACATTTGTTTACGGAAAATCCATTTTTTATAATGCATGACATTCCTAGTACATTATTTACTTAATTGTTTCTTTTTTAAGTATTCACAATGACGTAACGTGCACCTGCTTTTGACATTAACGGAGACGAAACTACGACACCAAGAATCCACCACAGTGGAGACTTCAGATCGGTCCACTCTCGGTCTAGCATGTTCTCGACGGGTTTGCCAAAGCTGTTAACCACGTTGAGAGCAACGATTTAAGTGTCGGATTGAAGGATTTCGTTACAGGACACGGAATGGTGTTCGAGGCTCACTACATGTGTGGTCTGTAAGACGGACAAATGAACAGTTATAACACATGTCGTGATGGACAATTATAACACAATTATAACACACGTCGTGAGGGTCCTAAACGCTTTTGCACAATGTATGCAATAACTGTCCATTCGTCCGTCTAACGGACCACATATGTAGTCAGCCTCGAACACCACTCTGTGTCCTGTAATGAAATCCTTCAATCCGACACTTACAACGTTGCTCTCAGCATGGTTGACAAACTTAGCAAACCCGTTGAGAACATGCTCGACCGAGAGTAGACCAATCTGAAGTCTCCATTGTGGTGGATTTTTGGTGTCGTAGTTTCGTCTTTATTAATGTCAAAAGCGCGTGCATGTTACACGTTGTGAATACATAAAAAACAATTAGGTAAATAATGTGTTAGTAGTGTCCTACATGATAAAAATTGGATTTTCCATAAAAAAAAATGTTCATTAGAGTTAATTCAATTTAGTTGGATAATTTAGTTTCTATGTTGATCCTATTGACACTATAGGTTGCTTCTTTTTAGAGAATTAACATTACACATATTGCATCTCAATAATTTTGCATTCAAGTTTGTATTTTCATTCAATTATTGCCATAATTGTTTTAAAACAAATACACTAAGAGAATACAAATGTGAAAGAGGTAGGTAACTTACGATATATCCTTGGTCTTTGATTTTGGACAGTGCATCGGGATCAACCATACGATATGGAAAGGTATTTGAAATACTAAGAACAACCATTTACAATTTCGAGCATAAGCGTTGTACGGAAATCAGCAATTAGAAAGAAAATTATAATGGAAATAGAGTGAGGGAGATTCAAAAGTATCTATGAATAAAAATTACATAGTTTACACTTGTTTCGACAAGAATATTCAAACGTGGCAAGAAGTAAAAAGAAACCAAAAATATTGGTAGATGAATATTTCGATACCTCTCTTGGACAATTGATCTATAAGTGAAGTAACGGAGAACAAAAAGGAGAAGAACAAAAGACATGGAAGGAAAGAGACAAAATATTGTAAGTTATTTTAGTATGTTATTTTTAAAACAACTATGACAATAATTGAATGAAAATACAAACTTGAATGCAAAATTGTTGAGATGCAATCTATGTGATGTTAATTATTTTACTCGAAACGAATACAAAAATGAAGCCACTTATAGTGCCAATAGGATCAACATAGAACTATTCATGTTTAGTTTTCATTTTATTAAGTTCGGACTAACTTGAATTAACGCTAATCAACATTTTTTTAACAAAAAATACATTTTTTTATTATGCAGGACACTCATAGTACATTATTTACCTAATTGTNAACTACGACATCAAGAAATCCACCACAGTGGAGACTTCATATCGGTCCACTCTCGGTCGAGCATGTTCTTGACGGGTTTGCTAAGGCTGTCAACCACGTTGAGAGCAATCATGTAAGTGCCGGATTGAAAGATTTCGTTGCAGGACACGGAGTGGTGTTCGAAGCTCACTACATGTGTGTTCTGTTAGACGGACAATTATAACACACGTTGTGCTAGACAGTTATGGCACACGTCGTGAGGGTCCTAAAATTTTTTCACACAATGTGTGCAATAACTTTCTATTCGTCCGTCTAACGGATCACACATGTAGTCAGCCTCGAACACCGCTCCGTGTAATGAAATCCTTCAATCCGACATTAGCAAACCCGTCGAGAACATGCTCGACCGAGAGTGGACCAATCTGAAGCCTCCATCGTGGTGGATTCTTGGTGTCGTTGTTTTGTCTCCATTAACGTCAAAAGCGTGTGACCGTTACACATTGTGAATACATAAAAAACAATTAGGTAAATAATGTATCAGGAGTTCTCCGCGTGATTTTCCGTAAAAAAAATGTTGATTAGAGTTAATTCAATTTAGTTGGATAATTTAGTTCAACTTTGTAGAAAGAAAACTAAAAATGCATGATGGAAGTTTCTATGTTGATCCTATTGACACTGTAGGTTGCTTATTTTTTGTATTCTAGTACAATTACATATCATATACTGAGACGCGAACTCGATCTTCTGTGAGGAGAATTGGCGCCGCTGCAAGGCCTTCGTCCGATTTTGTTTTTTTGCGATGGTTTGTTTTGCTGGATGTTAGAATTTGCAGTTACGGGAAAATGTATTGACTTAATGGGTGATTAATGAGTTATCAGAGAGAGATTCTCTTTCGATAAAATTAGGGATTCAGTTTTTGAAAACTAATACATCTCCCCATAAATTTAGGTAATTAATGTTTATATTAGTCAATAACTGATACAATAATTTTTCCAGTACATCTACAAATAAAAACAAGATTTTCGGCTATATTGCTAATATTTACAAAAACTGTGTAATAAAAAGTCAAATGTAAGGGGCTAAGTTTCTCTTGTTAGTATTTGCCCTTTCAACTGATCAGGCACGCAGGACCGAGCTGCAGCCAGGTTGCTAGCGCCCGTGCAACAGGACTCGAGCCGGCGGCCAGCCGCGATGACTCCAAGCCTATGTTTGAAACCCTTGGTCTATTTTGAGCCGTTTTGATCAGTGTTTGGAGTTGAATAATATTTTTATAATTTTTAAAAATTCCTGAGCCTTTTTCACCAATAAACTAGAGTTCCAAAGTTCCACAAATTTGATAAAAGTGCTTAATCAAATTTATTTTGATAAAGCTGGATATTAATTATTTTCGAGATAATAAGGTAAGTGTTGATAAAAGCTTTGTGCTATAAATGTAGATTTTCGAGCAGTGGAGACTCGAGAGCTGCTCTAGGTGATATCAGTTTCGCCATCTACATTTCTTCATCCACCTACGAGTACCAGGTGGGGGTTCTATACTATGGTTTATTTTGTATAACCATGTGGCAGTATAGTTTATATGTATGTGATTGTGGGCTGGTGGGCCAATTATGCTATGTGAAGTGCTACGTGATATGTTTCTATTAGCGAGATCGGTTGATACAATGGGAACTAGTAGAATAAATTGATAACATTCTAAGTGATATTTTTTCTACTAGCGGGACCAGTTGATACCGTGGGCACTAGTAGAAGCCGGTTTACGTACTAGCTGGACCGATTAATGCTGCGGGCACTAGTAGGAACGAGCAGGATCGGTTGATGCCGTGGGCCCTAGTAGTAACAAATAACTAAGCCAACAGTTCATGAAATTAGAATAATGGTGTTGTTATGCAGTGAGTTGATGTGTTCATATTCATATGATTAGTATATTATATGCAGTGTTTTAAAACGCATATAGCGTAATGCGTCGCATTTTGGCCTTTATATTGCGTAGCGTAAATAGCGTTTTGTGTTGCGTAAGCTATTTAGATATAATTTTTTTTGTAGAAATATAACAAATATATTTGCATATAATAAAACTGGATGATTTATTACAAAAATTATCATAGTATTTGAATGATTTCAAAAATAATATCTAAGAATTATTTCTCACAAATGTTTAATGTAAATATCATAATATAAATATGTAAATATTAAATCATATATACTAAAAAATAAAAACAAACAACGAAAATATAATGAGGTAAGTTATAATATAATTTTAAGTATATGCATTTTAATTATTATTATTTTTATTTAATTACAAGCATTTTAATTATGATTTTAGTTTTTGAGTTATGTATTGAATGGTTGAAATTATGATGGTTTGAATGTTACTCTATGTGTGGAATGGTTTTGAGTAATGTCCGTTGAGAATTATTTGGAAAATGTCTTTTTTTTTTTTAAATCCAAATTGACTCTGAAAATCCTTATTTTTCTCTAAATAAATAAGCGGACGTTACAGATTTGAATGCGAAGTAAAATGATTATTGGAAAGAAATAAGTTTTTCCATTCAAAAATTACAAATAGAAATAAATTATCTTATTAAAAGAAAGTGTATAGATAAATAAACTATGAAACATATGGGTGTGTATATATATATATATTATTTCTATTTGTAACTTTTTAATGGAAAAACTTATTTCTTCTAATAATCAATTTACTTCACATTCAATTTGTAACGCCTGCTTATTTATTTAGATAAATATAAATATACATATACATACATACATACATATATATATATATATATATATATTTTACTTGTAGTTTTAAGAAAAATATGCAGAGATTTATGTATTAAAAAGAGAATGAATATTAAAAAAGTTTTAAAACCTATGTCTCCACTTAAATAAAGTAAAATAAAGCATTGTATGTTAGTATAATATTGCAAATAATAATAAATATAAAATTTGAAATAATAAAATATGTTTATTACTCAATATTTTCTATGGGATCATCTATACGAATATATATAATTGTAGGATATACAATTAATGCAAATCATAAAATTTTCCTGCTCATTTTTTTTAGTTAATGTAGAAAAAAAACTGTTACGTATTATATTAATTAAGTGTAATGATATTTTAAACTATTTTATTACATAATAGTTAATAATAATATGAACTTATTAGTGAATGTTACATAAGTATAAAAATTTATTTTGTCATTTTTTCATTAAGATATTTATTCTACAATAAACATTATTTTTAATCATATTAAGCCATTTTTCTGTAATATTGATTATTGATTTTAGTGGTATACTCAAACCATTTTAAATCACAGAAACAATTCCTAACAATAATACAAATAATTGTAATATTTTGACAACTAAGTAACTAGGTTATGGACCATCTAAAATATATAAATTTAATTATCCATTACATGTTATGTCATCAATATAATGGTTTATATGTAAAATAAATAATTTATACTGTTTACTTATTAATATTCAAAATTTTAAAGTGTGATAAACTCATTAGGAGAGATGTAATTGAGAAATTTCAATCTCCCTCTCATCTATTTCATCTAATTTTAAATTTAAATATTATACATATAATATATAATAATTTTTTTTTGTCATTGTGCATGTGGATAAGATCGAGTATTAGTATATATAATTATGGACAATTCAATTAATACAATGAAAAAAAAAAATTTTCTTCTAAAAAAAAATTATAGAAGAAAACCATTACACTTTAAATTAATGTATAATGATATTTTAATATTTTATTATATAATGTTACATCCAATAGTAGCTAATTATAAATTCACAATGAATGTTATATTAAAGTTACATACTTATAAAAAAAATCTATCGCAATACCTTTTCTTCATGATATTTTTTTCATTAATGTTTAATAACATATTTTAACATTTTATTATATAAAATTACTTGTAATAATAACAAATTATAAATTTACATTAAATTATATGAAAGTCACATACTTACAAGAAAAATTTATTGCAATACTTTCGCATCAAATATTAGTATTTGTTATTTTTCTTAGAAATTTTGTTTGTCGCCTAGTTAATATGGTTTACTGAATATAAACTTTATATTTGAGACTTTTTGTTCTCTCTATATATATATTGTGGTTGAGCATGTATATATATTGTGGTTGAGCATGTGATCTTCCTATAATTGACTTAAAATTTATAATTGATCTCATGATAACGATTAAAAAACATAAATCATTACACTTGACTGAAAAGAATATCTCACTTCAATTGTAATTAAGAAAACATATAACATTACTTTTACTACTAAAATTCAACTATTAATTATTATTCTTATATGGTGACAATAGTGAGAGAAAGACAATGTGTTAATTCTGGAAAGCAGTGTTAATATTGGAAATCACATTTTTTACATTTTTTTACGTTGGTTCTGTGAGCACACAAGAAGAGATAGAATCCGGAATGAGGATATTTGAGATAGGGTCGGGGTGACTCCAATTGAGGAGAAATTGGTCCAACATCGGCTAAGGTGGTTCGGACATGTCCAACGGAGGCCTCCTGATGCACCGGTGCGTAGGGGAGCTTTACAGAAGGTCGATGATGTAAAGAGAGGTAGAGGTCGGCCTAAACTCACTTGGGAAGAGTCGGTTAAGAGAGACCTTAAAGATTGGAATATCTCCAAGGATTTAGCGGTGGATAGGAGCGCTTGGAGGCTAGCAATCCACGTGCCAGAACCGTGACTTTTGCTCTTTTCTCTTTTTGTTCCAACCTCTTCCTTTTGTTTCGAGCCATTTTTGTGTTTCTCTTCCCATTGTTTCTCTTGGGTTTCATCTCTAGCCTATCCCAACTTGCTTGGGACTAAAGGCTATGTTGTTGTTGTTGTTGTTGTTGTTGTTGTCAATGAAACAACTTTATAATACAACGGGTATGATACAAATAACTTTACAGTATAATCAAACAAGACAATAAGATTGAAATAATGTGGTGGATATTGACTAGGGTCCGCTTATAATAATATCAAGCACAATCTCGCATATCAACCAAACAAACCTTAAAAGTTTGACCATGCCTCGTGATGCGTATAATAACAAGAGCTTTATAATACCATTTGTCAGGCCAGTCTAAAAGGCGAAGGTGACTCAAGTAGTTAAAACAAGTGTTTTTCAATCCGGACCGGCCCGGTGGGTCGATCCGGAGTCGAAACCGGTCCGGCTGGGCTAATTAGACCGGGCAACAACGGACCCAGTCAAATCCAGTCAAACCCTGGCCAACCCGGCCTTGACCCCGTCGACCCGGGGCAATGACCCGGCTGGGTCAACCCGATTGACCCGGTCCCTATAATTTTTTTTTGTTATTTTTTTATTTTTTAAAATATTTTTTGTTTTAAAAAAATAAAACTATGTATATATATTTATATGGTAAATATTTATCATGAAATACATATTATTAACACTTTAATGTACAAATTATATATACAAAACATTTAATTTTATTACATTTATATATATTTATATGACAAAATCTCTATATATAATTTAAAATATTTTAAAATTAATTATCCGGTTCAGCAATTGACCTGGTGACCCGGCGGTTGAACCGGTGAACTGATGACCCGGAGACCTGCCAGGGTCGATTCCCGGGTAGACATGGCCAAAGGGCCGCCCCGCTGACCCGCACTGCCCCGGCCCGAATTTTAGACGGGCCGTGTAAGGGTCCTGTTTTTTTCGCCACTGACCCGGCGGGCTGGGCCGGGCCCGGTCTGGGAAAATACAAAAAATTTAATTTTTTTTTTTTTTTTTAAAGATAACGGGCCAAACCCGGGTTGGCCCCGGCTCGGCCCGCCGGGCCATGGACCCGGCATGGCCCAGGGTCAGTCCAACCAAGCCCGTCGGCCCGCCTGGTTTTTGCCATGTCTATTTCCGGGCTGGGTTTAAAAACTATGGTTAAAACTTAAAAGAATATAGCTACACTGACAACTTATTATATACATGTAGTACTTTTTATCATTAGGAGTTAATATTTGGTTGGACATTGCCTTTTGAATTTCGATTACATGATTATATATAGCTTATCATTGTTATCAGATTTTTCAATATCCTTTTAAAAAAAACAATTCAGCGTGATTATCTCTTTTTATTAAAAAAAAGTTAAATAAATTATTTTTTAATGACTAAACATTGAATATGTATATTTTGATTAGGTAGGAATATTCTATATGTTAGGCAGATAGTCGTGTGGTATTTATTTTCTCAAAACGTGAAATAGTTTTTTGAAATTAATCATTTAATTTGAATTAAAAAGTTTCTAATGGGAACATAATTAAAGATGTAAGAAGACTTAATTGTTAGTTGAAAAAAGTTAAAAGATGTAAGATCCTATCACACACTGAATTTTTAAGTGAGGTGCACTCTTTTATTATTGTATTAGAGTAATGGCGTCATATGATTATGATGATGAAATTTGATAGGGATTGAATGCGAGCAAATCCGTAAAATTTATTTCTTCTTTTATTTATATATGAGCTACGTACATTCACCTAAATTTATTTCTTCTTTTATTTATATATGAGCTACGTCACATGTTTAAATTTAATGTAAAAAATAATCAAAGAAATCAGCAAGCAAATATTATCAACATTGAAGAGCTCTCTTCAGATCATACAAAACAACAACTAGAACACATCAATCTTAATATTCCACAGTTTACAAATACATATATATATCATCACCACAGTCCATGTACACCACACACACACATATGGCATAATAATCAGACTATAGCTTCTTACAATATCAACAACAAACAACACAGGTGAAAAACAGAGATAATATTAAGCAACAAACTATACTTAGCACCACAAACATGAAAAAAAACAGAAAACGATCACGCGACCGACGAAATTTCCTTGCTTGTTTCATCTCCAATCGCAACAGACGAAATTTTCTTGCTTGTTTCATCTCCAATCGCAAACGTATCATCAGCAGCAATATTTAAAATCTTAACAAACTCCGAGCAGAACCTCGTCATCTCCTCTTCCGGCAACGACACCAAAGCATTCACCGAGCCATCTCCCGTCGGAAAAACCGAACAAATATCCTTTATATGGTTCACGACGGGCCCACTGTGCACGGGCCTCCCCCATGGATACTCCACGCTCTCCAACCCTAGCTTGAGCCACGAGGTTACCATGTACTCGCCATATGGCAGCCCCTTATTAATCTCCATCCAGTCGATCATCGACCTCGCGTACTCGTCCGTCACTCTTCCGGGACCTTCCGAGACCATCCCCACCAGCTCGGAAAACGGAAGCTTCTTGACCTCTCCGCGCTTGGCCGACGCGTAGGCCACCCAAATCCCGTTCCCAAAGTACGAAAACGGGAGCGGAGGATTGTTCAACCTCGAACGGAGGTCGATCACGTTGAGAAGCGTGCAAATCTCGTTTTCGTCGTCGTTTTTTTTCGACAGGGCCTTGCAACGCCATATGAGCGCCGTGGCGACGTTGAAGCTGCTGATTAGTTTGGGGTCGGTTGGTGTTTTTTTTCCCTTTTTCGCCTCGTTTTTGAGGAAATCGATGTGGGATGGAGTTAGTTTGAAGACGTTGAAGGAGAGTTCCTCTTTCTCGCAGTCGAAACCGAGAAAGCCGCCGGAGGAAGGGAGTTGGTCGGGTTTGATGCACTCCGGGTGGTGGAAGTCGGCGTGGGGCGGTGACCGGGCGGCGAGGAGGCGGCGGTCGAGGCAGGGGAGGACTGCCAGCTGTCGCCCGTCCGCGAAGCATTGGGACGCGAGATTCTCGGTGAAGGCTTTCGCGCTTAGGCCGTCTAATAGAACGTGGTTTACGGACATGCCGATTGCTAGGCCGCCGCATTTGAATGATGTCACCTATTTGTTAAATCAAGAAAATTACCAACCAAAACAGAGGAGGAGAAAGTCATTATAAATACGCGGCAAAAATGCATTAATTTTAATCTCAAAATTCAAACTTTTTGCCTTTTATTCATGTGATTTAATATTTGAAGCAATTTAAGTCATTTGAAGACTGAAATTGCAACAAAATTTTAAAATGCATTTTCAGTCACATTGGTTTAACGTCATAGCAGTTTTAGTCTAAAGATTCAAACTTTTCGCTTTTTATTCATGTGATTTAACATTTGAAGCAATTTAAGTCATTTGAGTACTAAAATTGCAACAAAATTTTAAATTACACAATTTAAATTGCTGATCGAAAACTTGGGAATTTGTTGCAATTTCAGTCATTGCGGACTGAAATTGCAGCAAAATATTAAATCACGGTACCAAAAAATAAAATATTGGAACATTGAGACTAAAAATGCATTTTTGCCTAAAATTGAGTAGAAATGCAATTTCGATGATTAATTGATGATTATATATTGGTTGAACTCAGGTTGACAACCTGGAGTAGGAGTAGAGGCTGATCCTCTATGCCGGGAAGAGTCTGACGAGCGAGCTGTCGGAAAATGGGGTTAGGGCAGAGCAAGTCTCCGAGCTCCGGCAAGGTCAAAGCAGATGAAGCCGCGACAAAACCGGCTCCGGTGGCATTGCTGGAGTCAATGACGAGGCGGCCGGTGTCAGGGTTCAGCTTAAGTCTTCCGGCCACGAAATCGTAGGTCTCGAGAAGCTTCTGGAAGGCTGACCGGAGCCTATGGGTGGCGGCCTCCGGCGGGTAATCTTTGTTGGGGGAGAAGAAAAAGACGGTGGGGACGTAGAAGTTGAGATTTTGGTCGATGTTGGAGAGGAAAAGAGATTTTTGATGATTTTGCGGTGGGAATAAAAGTGTTGATTCTTGAATTGTGAGCTTCAAGTCTTGGATGGATGGGTTTGGAGAGATTATTGCCATAATGTGTTGTTTTTTTGTTTGTTATTCCTTAGAGATTATTATGAAATTGGATATATGGTTTTGGTAGTTTGTGTGTGTGTTTTTTTGGTGCGAGGCTAGGATATATGAGAATGTGTGATCCAATTTATAATGGGGGATTGATGGTTTTTGAATTTATGTGACATCATTGCTTATAATAATTCTTCAAGTTGTGTCAAAGGATCATCATGTTGTGTATACATACGCATGTGAGACATTGTATACTAATGTAAAATTTTAAAGTCTATTGAATTATTAATTTGTAGGAAAAAAACCACTATCATATACAGTGTGTTTGAATTCATTTATTAAAACTTGTTTACTTTATTATCTTCTTCTTCTTTTTTTTTTCTTTTTTTTTTTTTAAAATTAAAACCTTAAACAACTCACTAATCAATGAGTATTTGATTTATTTATATAATTGCTAAATTATTTTTAATAAAACAATTTGAATTTTTCACATTTTTCCGAATCTAATATTTTCTTAAAATATAATTAAAACTTAATCAATGACTTTTTTTAATAATGATTAATTAAGGTAATCATATTTTAAATTATTTTATTATATAGTAGTTATTATTAAAGCTAACCAAAATTCACACTAGATGATATATATAAGTTTAATAAATATAAAATATTATATTATAAAATATTTTCTTAAACTATTTATTGCTTTTAAGAATTTTTTAATAAGCTAATTGGCTTTAGTGGTATAACCAAACCTCTTAAAATTTCATAATAATAATGATAAGAATAATACTAATAATAATAATAATTTATAAGATAATTAAGAGGTCGAGATCTCTCAAATTAAATAAAAACTACATTATCCATTTCATTTTATGCAATCAATATAGTGACGAAATTAAATATTTTTATAATGTTCATTTTTACTAATGACAAGATTTTTAAATGTGATATTATAATCTAACTTATAATTTTAATATTATATGCATACATATAAATTATAATAATTTAAACATTTGTGCATGTGCACAAGATCGAATACTAGTATGTATATATATATCCACACTGTAACGCCCACTTGCTATTTAATAGAAAATACTAATATTTTCAAGTAATTTTAAACACTTAAAGCTCTGAAATTCTTTTTCTCGGGCAGTCACTCAAAAATTCTCTTTCTTTCTGAAAATTCTAACTCTTTTCTGCTAAATGAAACTACTCTCTCTCTCTCTCTCTCTCTCTCTCTCTCTCTCCCCAAAGCTAGCTAAGAGTCCACAGGGAACTAGCTCCCAAAAATAACTCGAGAAATAAGCAGAGTACTCAAATCATGAATGCAATAAATCTCAAATTATTCATTCTCATAATTCTCAATTTCAAAACATGCAAACCAACTTAACAAACCAGTGTCTCAACATGGAATAAATAAAAGTCTGCAAGTTCTTAATAAAAAAAAAAAAAACTCAAATACTGATAATTAAATAGTGACCACACCGCACTGCCCTCCAGTGCCGCCATCCAGCTGTTTAACCTGAAAATGATGTTTGTGGGGGATGAGCATAATAATCAACGTGCTCATCTTTAGCCTATAAAGTACGAATATTCGAATTAAACAACAGATACCTTGTAAGCAGATATGATAAACAAATATTGGTTCGGCACCCGAGTATGGTGCATCTAGAGTGAACACCCGGCTATGATGCATCTAGAGTTCTTTGCAGCCGACTAACCGACTCTGCTATTCTCATCTCATTTCACGCACCCCACTAAGGTGCTAGCTAGCTTACGACATATCTCATATAAAAGAACAACCCACTTACGGTACTCATACCAAAGAACAACCCACTAACAGGAAAAAACACAATAATCATGCACATAAATATAGACAAAAATACCACAGTGTTTAATCAGAATGATGTACTAGATATACTTCCCCACCTAACTTCTGGAATCTGCTGAAGGATGAGTGAATGCTTCGATAGGAAACTCGAGGGCTCGACTTCTCGGGATCGACATAAATGAAGCATACTCGAATAAATATTCTAACTCTAATATTGGTAAGTTAATCTATATAGGGTCTGGTTCAAATAAAAACTAGTGTTTGTGTGAGAACCATATTTGATGTTATTTATAATTGTGTATGGTGGTATTTTTAACATCACATGGTGTTATCATTTCACAAATACTGATATAAATTGTGTTGCTATTTTTAATAAAATACATTCATATTAAAAATAGCACTAAAACACAATTAATGAAAGCACTACCTATAACTAAAAATAGTGGTTCTCACGCTAAGATATATATATAGGGTTGAGTTCAAGTAAGAAAGGTGTTCAGTGAAAGAAACAAGATTACATCGTAGCCATTAGATCGAATGATCTAATGGCTAAAAAAAAATTTACATTCATTAAAGGTATTGTGGACATTTTCTCCATAAGTGGGTCCACACCCACCAACCCATCCAATCTCACCCGCTACCACACACACGCATCTGCAAACCATCACCCCCCAGCCACCTGTCACACACACAAACACACACACTCACTACACTCTCTCTCACATAGTCTCACGATCGCACACAGAAATACACACATTCACACATGCGCGCACACACACACACACACACACACACACACACATATCCGTTGTCCCACAACAACCAGAACGGCGGCCGCCACCGCCCTTCCTCCGCCGCTGACATAGCCTTCTTCCGCTGCTGCCGTCCACCTCTCAGTCGGCGCTGTCTCCCTCTAACTTACCGGGTTTTTTCTTCACAGACGCCTGAATTTGGTGAACCACCTCAACCTCTTCGTCATAACTCGTCGTCCCTCTCTTTCACCCGTCGGCTGGTGATCGATTTAATAAGTTGTAGCCTATGTTCTTTCCTATACAGATCCCTCCATCGCCGGAGTAAATCTCCAAAGATATCAAAAATCGAAACCAACATTGTTGTTACCATCACCGGCGAGATCTTGGAGGTCCGAGAACGGCTGGGCTGTTCACCGGCGGCAATGAAATGACTGATGTGGCGACGAGAAAGATTAAAGTTTGGGATTTGGAGGTTTTTTTTAAAAATTTGATAATCTCTAGGGACCTATTTTCAATTTCAAGAATTTTGGTTATATTTCAATTAAGTCTATGGGTCAAATCTATAATTTATAAAAAATATTAATTTTTATATATTTTCTTATACATACATATTAAAACAATAAATAAAAGAATCATCAAAAAACATAATTGCACATTAATGTACAATGCATTACACCATATTGCATCCAGAATTGCACCATAAGAATATCATTACACTAATTGCACCATATTGTTAAACAAATTGCACATTAGTGCATATGTTATTGCACCCTAGCGCAACAGTGCATTTGTGCAATGACTAAAATGCCCCTGCACGAAAAATCAAAAGTCCACTTATTTACAAGAATACCACCGCGTGTTTGACTAAAGTTGGACCCTTTGACCATGCATGGAGCGTTGATATATCACATCCAATGGCTAGAATTCATTCTTATTTCTTTCACTATCCCTCTTTCTCATATGATCCTACCTCTATATATAGAAGAGATCATACGAGAAAGGTGATAGTGAAAAAAAATAAGAATGATCCTGGATCATTAGATCAATCAAACTAATGGATATGATCAAGTCAAAACTTAATAAATCACAGTCAAATATGGGTGGCATTTTCGCAATAATTGTACACAGCATGGTCAATTATAAAAATAGACCACTAAGTGAGGGTTAATCAGACATTGTGCACTACAAGTGGACCCAACCACTAACACCACTAACCTACCTCTCTCTCTCTCTCTCTCTCACCTAAACATACACAACACACACTTACACACACAAAACACCATACGCGACACATACATTCAAACTCACACAAACACACACAATCTGGATGGAGCCGCCGCCGTCAACCACGCCGCCGCCGCCGGACGTCAACCACGTCGCCGCCGCCGGACGTCAACCACGTCGCCGCCGCAAGCATCACCGTCGACACCAGCCTGATGTCGTCGATGTGGAGAGCATTTAGATTCCAGTACGGCAAGTGGCTTGTGTGGTCAACCTCGCCAGCGATTGTGTGGTCGTCCTCACCCAACGGTCGTCTATCGTTGCCTGCCACCATGCCTCCACCACATCGCTGTCGTCGTGTATATTCTCCTCAATAGCCGACCTTGATGCTCAGATCCGGCAGCGAGAAGAAGGTCGCCACTTCCGGCGAACATCACGTATTGGGCGATGAAGACGGCGGCGGTGACCATATCGACGTTGACTTTCGGTGGCTGAGCTCCGGCGAAGTTGTACTGGGGTGGTCTGAATTTGCTTTTAGGAATTGTGGGGTTTTCATTTGAAAATTTGATATATTGTAGGGGCTCAAATGCAATTTAATTAAGTTTCTTTTTATTTCAATCTAACACATGAGGCCAATCTGTAATATAATAAAAGTTTAATTAATGCACAATAAAATTACATAAATGCACATTATTATGTGAGAATGTACACATTAAAAAATAAAGACATGTTTTTACATAAATGCACATTATTATGTAAAAGTTCACAAATATGTTATAATTTATTTTATTACTTTTATGTTATTTCGGATTGACAACAAAAAATTGAATTCGGTTGGTTTTGATATTTGTTGTGCAATCCAAAAGTCGCGATAAAGTGCATCGCTTC